ATTGTTATATGTAAATTTCATGATTTCAGCATGATGTAAAGATATTTAAAATAGAATTTTTTCATAGAAAGAACTATATTATTCAAACTGGCAGTGTTTAATATTTATTTTTCTATACACATGTATTTTATAAACAGGTACTAATTACTATGATTTTTATAATAATTAAAATCAAACGAATATTTGAAAATTACGTTTTGCTACATTTACAGCATCAGAGAAAAGAATGGTAAAAGAAAAACAAATGTTGAATTATTGTTGAATTATTGTTTTCATTTATAGCAATAATAAATTAATAGCAATGAAACGCGGAGTAATAGAAAAAAATCATTATTATAGTGTAAGGTTTCTGTAGATTACACAAAATTTCAACAGAAACCTAAGTTGATCGAAAACTATTCCATTTTAATTATAATTCGCAAAATCAAGATATCAAATACATAATATCTCTACAAACGCGTTGACTGATTGTAAATTACTAGCGAAAGTGTTTACTGAGAGAACAATAAACACTTTCTAAACACTTTGAAAATTTTAAAATACGTTGCTACGTGATACTGGCTTGGTATGACATTAGTGAAATAAAGACTATATCTAAGGAATTTAGTTTGCCAAGTGATATATTTAGCGGAAAACTGAAATTGTATTCCGAGAGAATGATTTAATATATATTGCATTCGGTTTAAAAAAGTTTCATTATCAAATATACAATACAGTGATAGAAATTCAAAACAATGTTTAGCATTTCGTAAATAATACAGTAAGTATGCTAATAGTTTATTGAAAGTTCTAGGATACTATTTACTATATGTTTAACAATTATTTTCCATAATCGATCTCCCTTAGAAAAATATCTACAGTATATTACAATTTCATATTCAAATGGAAATAAAACACTAAAACACTGTTAGAAAATTGTTATCACTTCCATTTGATCAAGAAATATTGTAAAAAAATAAAACTCATTTGTATTTAAATTTACAAAATTTACAGATTTAAAAGTTAAAAAAAAATGCAAAATTTGGGTTATAAGAAACATGCTTTTATTCACCGAAACTTTATAATAAACTTCACTTTTTGTTTTATTACGTTATAAAGAGGACCATTGGCATTGAAGTTTTCAATACTAATGGATGCTAAGTTCGATATACAATTAAACAAAATTGTAACACGTGTCAGATGTGTGTATGTTATCGAACGTTGATGTACAGTCCACAGAATTTTCACACGTGCCAGGTGTGTTGTGTAATCGTAGACTTAAGAATTCGGGGTGAGATTTTTTCCGGCCTAGAGAGGGAGAAATTGTGCGCTGCCCTTTTTGGTGTGTTGGGTCAGTGCTGACCAGAGTGTGTAGCTGCGTGGCTGGTCAAGAACCAGTGTTGTTCCAGTGTTTAATTAATTGTCAGGTGTAAGAGTGTCACTCAATTGTGGAGAAATTAAAGTTCGAGTATTTTTTGTTGTTTTTAAAGGATTTGTGTACTGTTTTAGAACGTGTAAACTGGAACATTATACATGATTTTATAACAATGGTCCTCTTTATCATTTAGTATCTGTCGTATGTTGTGAATCGCTTTTGATTGATGTCCACGATAGATACTTTCTGACGTTTTCATTGGTATTTTTCTGTAAGTGTGACTTCAGAAGATACTTTGTGACATTACACTAGAACGACTAATTTTGAATATAGCAAATTTATATCCATTTCAAAAATTAATTGCGTGTAAGCTACCTACACCCCTATACAATGATGTTAACTGAAGCTACAGCAGGAAAGTATAATACGCTATATTTTACTGTATTCTTCTGATAACTAAAAAATCATGTGGTGTATGAAGTGTGTGATACTTTCTTCGGATGTAACAGTTGGTGTGTTAAAAATATTATTTTTTACCTATAATTATCTGTAAATACAAATAACTTTTATTAATTAGTTTAGCTGGCAGTTTACTGATGAAAGCGTAGGAAGTGAAATTTCAAAATTACATGAGATGCGGACAGCGAAATAAAACATCCCGTAAAATCGAGATTTTAAACTAAGAAACAAAAAAATTGGTAATCCTGTAATTGAAATTCTTGAAGAGAGGTTCTACTGTGGAATTGCTGTACAAAATAATGAAATGTGCGCGTTTAAGTGCAATGCAATCTGTTGGAAAAAATATTAGTCTGAAGAAAAGACAAGAAAAGACTGATTTCCTGTCTTAAACGTTTTATTTTATTGCTCTTTTATTCTCGAAAGAGGATTTTCTACATTCAGTATCACGTTGTCAAGTTTTTGTATTTATTGAAGAATTAAAAACTTTTTTTCTTTTCCTATTAGAAATCGCCGTGTGGTAACATTGTGAAATGGAGTTCAATATAGATTTATACAGCAAACAGGCTGTCAGAAAGTTAACCGTGTGACAAAAACTTTTTACAATATTGTTTTGAAAAAACTCTGAGTGTAAAGAATGGGGAATGATAAATCTTCCTAAAATGACAACTAACGATATATTTGGTCTATTAATCCGGTAATTAACATTTAAAAAACATTAAAAGTATCACCAAGTAATCCCTGTTTACCTGTATTAACGCGAGAGTGGAACTACTTTCCAATTTTAGAAATTGCAAATAAAAATTTTGGAATCCCAAATTCATTGAAAAGAAGTCACTTTCAAATATTTTTTGTAACTAAAACTAATGGAAAACTGATGAATAATAAACAACTTTGAGATAAATTTACGAAATAAGTGTCGTTAATTAAGTTTAAGTTGATTTCCTACACAGCTTTATTTTCTATCATCCTTTTAATTAACACAGTACATCAAATCTTTTGGATGATTTCTTGGATTTTAATTTATGTTTTTACAAAAATTTTGATTTTTTTTAAAAATAGTTTTATAACAAAATATTGTCCACAAAATAAAATATTCTAAAGTACAGTATTTTAATTTACAAGTATTTTTTAGCTAGGAATTTTCGAGTCTGTTAATATTTACAAGCAAAACAGATTTTAATTAATTGAATTATATTTTGCATACTTCTCGAACAGAAGTAAACACTGCATTTATTTATTGTGGGTGAGTAAAAATTAATAGTTTAAAAATTAATTAATAAATAGACTTGTCAATGTTACCAATAACATTAACGTGACCGGATCCGCGGCCTCCTAACTCTGGAGGATCCAGAATCAAATGAGGACTGGTGGAAAACTCCGAGGGATATTTCGGGGTGGTTCGTCCAAATATATCGACAGACCAGTGTGGGCCTGATCGAATCAATAATGGCTTGCTAAAATGGCCTTTTTACTGCCCACAGTTAAGCATATATCACTGACATAATGAAAATTATAATTAATGTTTTATCGATTAATATGTTTTTTACTTTGATTAAATTTTGATTCTAGCAGCTGCGAATAACTATATTAACCAATAAATCATTTAAACATTCCTCTGAAATGAAAAAAATAAAATAAAAAAAATAAAACTATAAATTTCATATTGTGTTTGGATTCCAAAACATTAAAATATTTTCTTAAGAAATTTTCCTAGCGATTTTCTTATTTAGAAAGTAAAAATATTTAAAATACTATCAATATGTATTGTGAATTTAATTTTATATATATTTCTGAATGATAAGCTGGATGAAGAGATCAATAAATTTTCTTTTAAAACAAAACATAGGGTAAATTAATATATAATATTCTAAATAACGTGATTGAATAATTGGATTCAATTTGGCTCATTATCTTCAGATCACGCTGCGAGTTTTATAGTTAAAAAATGTCTTTTAATTAATTAAGAAAAGAGTTATATTATTTTAAAATTAAAACTGTACTAATAAATTATTCAAATAAGAAAACCAAAAATTAAAAAAATCTTATACGTACAGTTTAAACGAATTGGTACGAATAAACTGGCCTTTAGATCTGGAAAATTTGATCAATCCGTACTTATTTTCCTTAAATCATTTAACGAAGAACTAGAGAAATTTTCAATTTAGTGTACGGAATAAATAATTCGTTGTATGAAATATGATAATGACTGATCACATAACAGAAATATTGAAGAAAGAAAAAAAATTGGTATTAAGTTCAGTTATTCATAAAGGAATGAAATTGATTCTAATAATTGTACAATATAAATTTACAAATTTCACTAATGTTGATCCTTTTTCTATCCAGTAAAGCATCTTATACTTTTTGGTGGTATAAATTTTGTTTATAAATTTTATAAAAATGAATTTTTAACGATAGATTTTTGCTACTTTTCATTTTCTCGAATGATTTAAATTTTTTAAAAGTTTTATTTAATGATTGTTACAAATATCATATTGGCGAGGATTAAAAACAAATCGATAGAAAATTATAGAAAAAAAAAAAACAAAAATTATTCTATCATTTTAAGTATTTGATTGTAGTATTTGTATAATTTTGCATCCATACATGTTTGCCATAACGTATACCTTCGTATACAAATTACTTATTAAATAAATAAAATTAACGAAGGACTTTAAATGATATTGTATATTATATACAATGTAAAGATTGCATCATATACCGGTACATAGATATACGGTATATATCATATAGGTATGTATATGTAGGAAGTACGTAATAACATTAATGTTTCAATATACTCGATATGCAAACATTTTCTAAATTTGCTTTTTGCAAAATACCGGAGGAATTCTAAAAGATATTCTTTATGAATTAAATACACTCTTTACAAATCATAGCATTTAATAGATCTTCAGACAGTTATATAAAATCTATCCTTGTATTAATGAAAATTTGTTAAATGCTAAATATTTCTTTTTCTTATAATATGAAAATTATGGCATAAATATTCATAATCCGAAGATAAGATATTATAATTTCTCTCTTCTCTTCTCGTTTGTGATAAGTTTTTGTAATGAAAAAAAAAAATATTTCTGAAAATGTAATTATTTGAACTTCTTAAAAAATTTCCAATATATTCTAAGAATTTTTTCTAATATTTTCTCTTTTAAAATTAATTTACCAGAAACAATGAAAGTGGTAACATATTGGACAATCTTCTTTCACGAATGGAGCAATACGCTAATAACCTAGAAGCGTTGGTAGAAGAAAGAACTGCAGATTATTTGGAGGAAAAAAGGAAGGCAGAAGATTTACTTTATCAGCTTTTGCCAAAGTAAATATATTTAATGAATCAATAAACAAGTATCGTTTATTAATTATAATGTAATTTAAGATTCTTAATAGAAAACATATCATGATTTCGCATGTTTTAAGATTATATTTTTTAAAATATTTAATTTTTTTTATCTATATTTTATGTATAAAAATCACATTTATTACCGAATTTTCATATGGCATTTAAGTATAATTTTTATATGATTAATGTTATATTTAAAGATCATTTTTAGATTTTTTTTTAAAGTAAAATAAATGAATGTTCTTATTCGCTTAGATTTTTTTGAAAATAGTTTTATTAAAATGTATAACAACGTAAATTTTATTTTTAAAAATTTTAAACAATTTCAACGTGTTTTGATTTTTGAAATTATATAACGTATTATTCGTCTAGGAGCTAGATGTTAATAAATAAATAATATTGTGTAAATCAGTAACACTTAAACAGTACGCTTGATTTTTTATTTAGGGGCAATATTTATATATACGGTAATTACAAATTAATAATTTGGCATTTGCGTACCGGGTGGTATCGGGTCTCCAAATTTAACAGAACGGGTTCCTGTTCCTAAGAGTTGGCGCCCATAATGATATGGATAAATATTAATTAAGAATATAAAAAGTCAAATACATTATTTAAAAAATCCAGCAACGAGCTGCACAAATTTTCCGGCTGTTATGAGTTTTTATTTAAAAAAAAATAACTTTTATATTATTAAGCAGAATAAATAAAATTGTGTGTGGCGCCATCTGTTATCAGACTTTTTTAAAAAACTTTCTATATTTTATATATTTTAATTACTATAAAATTGAAAAAGGTTAATTTTGTGGATAGGGATGGATTTTATGAAAGCTATAAATGTTAGTAACGAATAAAATCAATAAGTCCTACTCCTCTCGAGATATGACACACGATTCCTCCTTTATCTTTCTACTCCCTGGACCTTTAACCATCAAAATTTAATAGCATGAATGCCCTTTATATGCAAGCCACCATACCAAATTTCGTTTCTTAATGTTTACCCCATTTCGAGATATTATGTGATATAGACACCAACTCACACACCCTCCATACACACATCTACGAAATTCTTCTTTTGTGTTTTGAGTTTTTGGATTCAGGAGTCTCAACATATGGAGATTTGCAAAAATCTCGGAGGGTTAAATTTGACACGATTTCATTACTTTTCCTTGTAATGTATACATAACAGCCGGGAATGTAATAGCTGTAAAGCAAAAATTTATCGATCTGTTACAGAACTTTTACATAAAACTAGATCATTACTATATGGGGTAGGTTTTGTTCTAGTAAATCAGAGAGTTGATTCGAATCTCCTTCAAACATGAATATGTCTCTGTCGAATTTGAATAAGAATTATTGATTGGAAGGTACTATATGGTTACTGTAATTTTGTAACGTTTCGTTTGTTCTAAATTAAATACAATAATGTAAAAGGAAAAAAAAATGTTTAATGTGTCGGTCATCAATTCCCCTAATACACAAACGTCCCTGCAATATTTCAGAAATTTTCAACTAAAAGCAAAGAAATCATTAATTAAACTTCAAAGAGGATGAACAAAATCGTTTCCCATGCACACACAAACATCCATACATACAGAAAAGCCCTGAATTTTTTTATATTTCTCCATGTTTGCCATAACGTATACCTTCGTATACAAATTACTTATTAAATAAATAAAATTAACGAAGGACTTTAAATGATATTGTATATTATATACAATGTAAAGATTGCATCATATACCGGTACATAGATATACGGTATATATCATATAGGTATGTATATGTAGGAAGTACGTAATAACATTAATGTTTCAATATACTCGATATGCAAACATTTTCTAAATTTGCTTTTTGCAAAATACCGGAGGAATTCTAAAAGATATTCTTTATGAATTAAATACACTCTTTACAAATCATAGCATTTAATAGATCTTCAGACAGTTATATAAAATCTATCCTTGTATTAATGAAAATTTGTTAAATGCTAAATATTTCTTTTTCTTATAATATGAAAATTATGGCATAAATATTCATAATCCGAAGATAAGATATTATAATTTCTCTCTTCTCTTCTCGTTTGTGATAAGTTTTTGTAATGAAAAAAAAAAATATTTCTGAAAATGTAATTATTTGAACTTCTTAAAAAATTTCCAATATATTCTAAGAATTTTTTCTAATATTTTCTCTTTTAAAATTAATTTACCAGAAACAATGAAAGTGGTAACATATTGGACAATCTTCTTTCACGAATGGAGCAATACGCTAATAACCTAGAAGCGTTGGTAGAAGAAAGAACTGCAGATTATTTGGAGGAAAAAAGGAAGGCAGAAGATTTACTTTATCAGCTTTTGCCAAAGTAAATATATTTAATGAATCAATAAACAAGTATCGTTTATTAATTATAATGTAATTTAAGATTCTTAATAGAAAACATATCATGATTTCGCATGTTTTAAGATTATATTTTTTAAAATATTTAATTTTTTTTATCTATATTTTATGTATAAAAATCACATTTATTACCGAATTTTCATATGGCATTTAAGTATAATTTTTATATGATTAATGTTATATTTAAAGATCATTTTTAGATTTTTTTTTAAAGTAAAATAAATGAATGTTCTTATTCGCTTAGATTTTTTTGAAAATAGTTTTATTAAAATGTATAACAACGTAAATTTTATTTTTAAAAATTTTAAACAATTTCAACGTGTTTTGATTTTTGAAATTATATAACGTATTATTCGTCTAGGAGCTAGATGTTAATAAATAAATAATATTGTGTAAATCAGTAACACTTAAACAGTACGCTTGATTTTTTATTTAGGGGCAATATTTATATATACGGTAATTACAAATTAATAATTTGGCATTTGCGTACCGGGTGGTATCGGGTCTCCAAATTTAACAGAACGGGTTCCTGTTCCTAAGAGTTGGCGCCCATAATGATATGGATAAATATTAATTAAGAATATAAAAAGTCAAATACATTATTTAAAAAATCCAGCAACGAGCTGCACAAATTTTCCGGCTGTTATGAGTTTTTATTTAAAAAAAATAACTTTTATATTATTAAGCAGAATAAATAAAATTGTGTGTGGCGCCATCTGTTATCAGACTTTTTTAAAAAACTTTCTATATTTTATATATTTTAATTACTATAAAATTGAAAAAGGTTAATTTTGAGGATAGGGATGGATTTTATGAAAGCTATAAATGTTAGTAACGAATAAAATCAATAAGTCCTACTCCTCTCGAGATATGACACACGATTCCTCCTTTATCTTTCTACTCCCTGGACCTTTAACCATCAAAATTTAATAGCATGAATGCCCTTTATATGCAAGCCACCATACCAAATTTCGTTTCTTAATGTTTACCCCATTTCGAGATATTATGTGATATAGACCAACTCACACACCCTCCATACACACATCTACGAAATTCTTCTTTTGTGTTTTGAGTTTTTGGATTCAGGAGTCTCAACATATGGAGATTTGCAAAAATCTCGGAGGGTTAAATTTGACACGATTTCATTACTTTTCCTTGTAATGTATACATAACAGCCGGGAATGTAATAGCTGTAAAGCAAAAATTTATCGATCTGTTACAGAACTTTTACATAAAACTAGATCATTACTATATGGGGTAGGTTTTGTTCTAGTAAATCAGAGAGTTGATTCGAATCTCCTTCAAACATGAATATGTCTCTGTCGAATTTGAATAAGAATTATTGATTGGTAGGTACTATATGGTTACTGTAATTTTGTAACGTTTCGTTTGTTCTACATTAAATACAATAATGTAAAAGGAAAAAAAAATGTTTAATGTGTCGGTCATCAATTCCCCTAATACACAAACGTCCCTGCAATATTTCAGAAATTTTCAACTAAAAGCAAAGAAATCATTAATTAAACTTCAAAGAGGATGAACAAAATCGTTTCCCATGCACACACAAACATCCATACATACAGAAAAGCCCTGAATTTTTTTATATTTCTCACGATTCAAGGTGTTCTTAGTTTAAAAATTTAAAAATATTGGGTGGTTATTTTTTTTGATTGATTGCCATTGACCTCTGTTGTATACAACAGCTAGGAAAAAATAAAAATTCGTTAAAATATTGAACAAAATTTATGACTTTTGGAGACTGAAAACTAATTTTTCTTGTTTATTCCATATATAAAGAATCAAACAATGTTTTCACGTATGCATAGAAATATTGCTTTAAATATAGAGCTAGAATTTTTTTCACAAAGATTATTTTATGATTTCAAAAATTAGAATTATGAAGCAAAATGTAAGATATTCCATGAACTAGCTCGTGACACGAGAAAATCAATATTTGCGATGAATTAATAATAGATATCATTGCTCTTAACTCTTATGTTAGCTTCTCGGCATTATATCTATGTTTAAATGAAAATTATTATGTGACAAAATATATAGTTGTATCGATATGTAATCTAAGTATACTTTTAGATATTATTAAATGTTTTTAGATTTATTACTGGAGAAACATTAATAACGTTATTTAGAAACGACATTATAATAAAGTCTGTCGAAAGTTAATTTGAAAAATTTGACTTTAAGAATGTCTAAATTTATGTAAATATATATAAGTCTAGATATGTATGTATGCTTGTTAGATAGTGTTTTTATCATTTAATTAACGAATTCGCACCAAATTTGGTACGGATATTCTTCAAAAAATACTGCATTGGTTCTTTTCCTTAACCACCTCTAAAGCCCGAGCAACACCAGGCACACGCAGCTATTCTTCAACTCCTTAAAAAGTACTGTACAAAGTACAGTACAACTGCCCCTTACTAAAACCCACTCCTGAAAACGTCGGACATATCTAGCTAATAACTATATAAGTATACTTTATATATTTCTATAATTATAATTTACATATCATTATACCATTTTAAGAAGCCATTGTGACAGAAAAATTTCCTTTCAGTACAATTTCTTAAGGCACATTGCAGCCATTTTTATTATTAATTGATAATTTGTATACTTTTCCACGTTAGTTGTTAAAATTTATTAACAATTATCGAATAATAATTTTAGATTTTCCCATATAAAATTTAAAAAATATACGAGAATTAAATGAAAACAGTCATAAAACTTAGCCATTAAAAGTTATTTTTATAGCTTACACATTTATATCATGGCAAAACTTTTGTAAAAGTATTTTAAACAGAATATTACAGGAGAAAATCGTTAATATTCCAGTAATTTTATGTTAGGTTTAAGTGATAAATTATACACATTGCATTCATTTAGTCTTTTGTAATGCTTAAAACATCGAAGTTTGGTAAATCAAACACTTCTAAAATTCCATATTTTTCTTCAAATATTATAATTATTCATCCAGATTTATTTTATGGAAATTAGTTCTAATTGTATGGGGATCTTCTAATACATACAACAAATAGCAAACATTATTAATTATTTATTTAATTTGTTTATAATAGAACAAAAATACAAATAAAAGATAAGTTGTAAGTTACTATAATAATTATTCTGTAATATATGAAAAAACAGTGTTAATAAAATTATTTATATTCCTTGATTTTTACTTTCTCGGTTGTCAGTGTAGTGTGTGTAGAGGAAACGAATTTATTCACCCTAATTGAAGCTTAATAACTCCTGTGCTTTTTGTCGAAAACTTCTGAAATTCTTCAGGAAAGTTTGTGTATTAGAGGATTGATGCTCTTAAATTTTCATAAATAAAGGTCGAGGGGTGGGAGAGATAATGGGGTCGTGTGTATCTCCATTAGGGTCGAACTGAATGACGATTTTACTCGTTATTAGAATTATTTTTAAGTTGAGCGACTCGTTGCTGGTTTATTATGTTAAGAAAACAAAGTTTTGTAGTTCAATTTTCAAAAGATGTATTGTATATAAGTTACTTACTATAAAGAAAAAGAATTTGTTTCTCTTAGTGAATGTTTATTTAAGACATGAAGGATTTAGTGACAGATAGTTCTATCATTTGGCAATAATCCTTTATACTTCAGAATCAGAAACAAAACTATTTATTTTTATTATTTCTTTTAAACAAATAAGAATTAGCTCAGACTCTGAAATGATTCTTTTTTTTTTCATTTATTAATTTAAATGGAAAAATATACAAGTAAATTCAATATATTTTTAGATTTAATTCATTTTAAATTAATTTTATAAATGAAACTAAATTACGTGGCAGAAAATAAATTAGCAAATAGAAATTCTGATTGCTCTTAAATTATCTAGTCGCTGTCACATTTTCATTACAAAATGAATTTTTATTTTGTAAAGAATATGTTTCTATTATTTATGGAATGTTGTTTTTTTTATAAAAAGAAACTTAATACGTAATTATTTTTCATTGTTCAGGTCTGTGGCCAGTCAATTAATAAGAGGAGAATCGGTAACTGCAGAAGCATTTGATAGCGTTACGATTTATTTTAGTGATATTGTTGGATTTACTGCATTGTCTGCACAAAGCACTCCTATGCAGGTAAATTGTAATTTATTTTTATTATATATATTCTGCGTTTTAGTTAAAATATTTTAACACGTTTTTATTTATATCTTATTTAAAATATATCAAAAAACAATTTATTGGGAAATATGAATATTTTATAATAAAACATTTTAATTTATTTTTAGAAATAAAATATTCTATATATATTTGTCAATAGAATAATTTATATAAATTAAAACATTTTAATTTTAACGTTCCAATTATAATGCTAAATAAACTCAACTGTTAATCCTCGGAATTAATTCTTAAATTCTAATTAACTAACGTTAAAATAATAATGAAATTTTTATACATTAAACTAAATTATAACAATTTATTGATATAATCAGTTTACAGTAATTTCTCTCCATATTATAAATTTTAATAATAATGCTACTTTAAAAATATTTTGCTAATTTAACATTTAATTACAATTTTATACAGTATTATTATTATTTTTTTTTTTTTGAAACTGTACATAAATATATTGAATAGAAAATACTTTTTTTTCCTTCTTATTTTACTTATAATAGGATTATATTTTCTATTGAATAAACAAGAAGTTTATTTTAAAAGATCTTATGGCATTAGACGAAAAGTCTGTTTGAAAATATCTATATGACTGGTTATCACATAATGCCGAATGAAATCTTCTTAACAGAAAATTGAAACTTGACATTATGTTAGGAAGGGTCAATATGTTTTCATGGATTTAATCCCAAGGCTATATATATATTTCCCCTCCCTCGTCATCTGGATCGATTTGTATTAAATTTATGAAAAAAATTGAATAATAATGTTTATTTTATAAGTCAATATTAATTAATAATAAATAAATATTTAATTTAAAATTACTTTTAGTTACAGAATTCTTGAAAAGGTTACATGAAAATTTTCAAATAAAAATATTACCTTAGATTATACATTTATACCGCTTTAAAGTAAGAAGTATAATAATTAAATTTTTTAAATACTATAAATCCTTTTTAATAATTTAATTACCTACTAAAGTATCGTCGTAAAACGAGCTTTCAGATTACTCAAACTCAATGTCATAATTTGAGATTATGCTGAGATAGTAATAAAATATCCAGTTTTTAACTTTTGTCTACAGAATATAACTACTATATCAGAAATTTCTATTAAAAGTATAGTATATTATTTGAAACGATTAATAGCATAAGTTATATTAAATTATTTTAGTAGAAAATCTTGTAACTGATATGCTATATACTATAATACTATGCTGTATATAATCAGTCTTTAACTACGAACATTCGGGAAACTCGCTCTTTCGCACATGACACTGTTACACATAAATCACTTTCCATGCGACACATTCGGACATTCATATATTTTTAGTGGACGTACTGTACATAAATTTCCATCTATTGTGTAGTAATATTTTCTGCCAGTAACATCAGAACTATCTGCGAAAATTGATTTTTATCCTCTGTTTTTTTTTCTTAACCTATAATTTTTAACGTTTTAAATAATATTTTATGTTATAATATTCACCGTATTCACTGTAAAAACGTAAAACATTTTTACTTAAAAAGGGATTTTATAACTTCTTGTTTTTTAGTTTTATAAATTGAGTTTCGTTTCCAGAGAGAATGGAACTTCCCTTGAACATGCAACTTGATTTTCGACTTTCGTGCATATTTTTAGGAAAGGATTATAACTGAAAATCGTAATTGTCTGTACTATGCTGTTATAGTGTTATAAATACATTATTATTACTATATAGAACATATTCAAACCCGATATACTCTCACCATTTGTTCGCTTTTTAGAATGGCACTATATCTAACGTGGTGCTAAGAGTCTCAATTAAGGGAATAATAATGAGATGTATACTTAAGTTTGAGTTTGAAAATTTTAATCAAACAGTTTGATGATAATGTAATGCAAATTCATACATTTAATAGCACACAGATACCGAAAATTCTTTATCCGTTCGTCAATACTCTAGCGCTTTATCGGAATGACGTTAATTGAGAGGGACTATAACCGAATTTGACTATATATGCATACGTATACATTACTTAATTGTTTTAAACATAATGTATAATTATATTATCTGTATCTATAGTTTATTTGCAATAATGGATATTTTTAATTGATCAAAAGTATTTTCTTCATTGATTTAAACTGATCGTTTGCAGTTTGGTTAAAAAATTTCCATTTCAATTGAAAAAAAAATCCGAAAATTCCACGTAAAGGATTCGAGAAAAATTTTTTTTTTCGAATATTCTGTTTTTTGTTATATTTCAAGAATCGTTCATTATAGAAATTTCCAATTTAAAGATTTTAAGAGAGAAAGAGGGGGAGATTTCAAAGAACTAATCTTACTGTTCGTCCTTTATCTCTGTGCTCCAGATATCTGATCATTATAAAGGTAGTGTACCTGACTTTAGAAAGAGTAGAGTAGATGTCAGAATACATTATAGTTATTTAAAATATAGGAAAGGAGGAACTTAATTATCAAATGCGAGTTTATACGCACGAGTAACCAAATTCGCAAGAACATAACGAAGGATGAACAATTGAAAGTCTAAAATTGTATATTAAGGAGATTGATACTATTAAGTTTTGGCAGAGAAAAGATATAGAGTGGGTGGGGGGTCATGTATCATAGAAATAGAGAGGGGAATCATGTATCATATTTCGAGTAGGGTCGTTAGATTAAATAAAGATTTTAGTCATTATTAGCATTTACAATTTACAATATATACTGTATATATAAAACTCATCTCCACCCTAAAAATTTAGCTTTTATTAAAACTCATTTCTACTCTAAATTTTTTTCCGCGAAACTTACGCAATTCATTTGTTCGATTTTTACTAAAATCCATTATGATTGGAAAGAAGTAATAGCAAAATTATTTTAAAAATTACTACAAAATGATTTAATAGCAAAATATCAGTCTTGTAAAAAATGGCATAAATACGGACAGAATTAAATATTTTATATATTTTTTTCTTTTCTAATTAATCATTGTTTTAATCTCTTTGATAAGGATAAATGAGCAATTTATATATATTTTTTAATTTTATAATTATTATTAAATAAATTAGCGTAAGGAAAAATTTAAAATTAGCTTATCTTAATATGTAGTGATAAAGTAAATAAAATATTACACCATTTATTTTCTATAATGAATTTCGTTGTCTTAAGATGTCTTCATTAAAAAATTTCTACACTAAGAGATTCGCTATAAATACATTATTAAAAGTTTTTTGTACTCCACTCTAATCTTAATTATTACTATTTTTTAAACTTTACTGTCACTACTGCAGTGTTAATTATTATGAAAAAGTGATAAAGATTCAGTAAACGTAGGTCCAGATGTAGGATAAAACTTAATTAACGTTATAATTTTTTATTACTCAAGATAATATAAATTAAAGATTAAAATAGAAGAGTGTTAACAAACATGTTGTTTATTATTTATATCTGCTTTTGACATTTTCTATAAGATCGCGTAATTGAAAACTCGTCCTGATTTAGTTAATGTTTATATATTTAATATAAATTGAAAGAAAACACAATGAGTTGTCAAGCGAGATATGACTGAGAAATTTGTTTTTGATTTATTTCCAGTTCTACCTGACAAAAATTCAATTTACTTATTTATTCCTTATTAATATTTTTAAATATTCAGTACATTAATTATTTATTATTACAAAATATAGCTGATAGATGAGTTATCCATCTGTTTATTTTTCTCATAGACTCTATATAAAATTCGTTTTCAATGAATAAAAAATATCCTACCCAGAAAACAAACATTTTAAAAAGTGAACAAATGTAATATTGACTTTAAAAATCTTATAAACTGCAATTTTTTTCTATGAAAACGAGGATGTAAGTGTGAAATTTTTATTTAGTTTCACTTGGATACTTTTCCATCGATTTCTTTTCGATTCATTCTTTCCTCTATGGCAACGACTAAACTTATAAATAATTTTTTATCTAATTTTTTTTTCTGTTTTATCTTTCAGGTAGTAAACTTGCTCAACGATCTATATACATGTTTTGATTCGATTATCGAAAACTTTGACGTTTATAAGGTAAGAATATTGATTTAATTAAATAATATTTTGATGCATTACAGGTGATTTTTTGTGTTAATAATTTTTGTATTATAAAAATCAGCATACATTTTACAAACTTTTAACTAGAAAAAATTTTATCGTATTATTTATTTATTTAATTTAAAATATATGCTCTCGATTTCAAATTAGTAGCATAGCCCCTGTACATCATACTTTTCCTGTTAACAACAGAGTCTTGCCAATGAACTAACTCCGTCTGTAACAATTTAGAAAAAGGAAAAAAACAAAGAACTTACAATGGAATCTTATTTGTTCAACTCTAACCTACTATTATTATTGTTCGAGTATAATTTTCCCAAGTTTACTGAATTTAAGTTAAAGTAAATACAAAGTATTCGTTATTGCAAATTCTTACATAATGTGATACTAAATTTCTAACTTTTCTTCTTGATAATTGCATAAAATTAAATTTATAATCTTTAATTAAAATGTAAAATTTAACTCCTTATTTTATAAAACGTAAACATATATTTTGAATCGTTATTACTTTGAAATTATATGACGATGATAAATTCGAGATTAGTGTATAGTGATTATGCATATTTGGGTTATAAACTACTGTAGTTTATGACTACTTTATTAGTTAAAGTTTAATGTTAGTCGATATGGAAGAGTAATTTACATCCTTTAATGCAATTGGTAGTTCTCTCTATTTACTATACATAAAAATTCTGTAAAAAAATATCCAAAGTTAAATGAATTTATAAAATTCTTATCGATATATTTGTCTATTTGAACAAGATATATAAATTTTCATTGTTACGTTATTTCTAGAAACTGAATGTAGGTGGATATTGACTTTACTAAGAATAACACTAAAATGATAAATGTCTTTAAAATTGAATTTATTTTAATGAAATTCAGCGTAAAATTAGATTGGATTCTTAACAATTTTCGGACATTATTTAAATAAAAATACTCTAACTTTACGGATCTAATTATTTAAAGTAATTAAATATTTGGAGAGAGAGCCTGATGATCGAGGTGGCATCTTGTCGCTGAGAGGGATACAGATTCGAGTTGAATGGAAACCTTAGAAATTTTTGTGAGAAGTTTGACGTGAAAGTTTCGGACCATTTCCCTCATCACTCGGCAGTTCCAAATCACTGTAATTCCCTATCCATGCTCATCATGGTTCATAGATAATAAAAGAATATCCCATTGACAAGAAATTAAAAAGTAATAAATAAATAAAATGTAAAAATATATTCCTGAAAGAACACTTATTTTTGATTTTTATATAAATTGTAAACCTGTATAAGTGCCCGCAAGACGAAATCATTTTAAAAAGTATGAGCAATTGTTTATTGTTTGACATTATCAAAATTCCCGGCTCCAATTTTTAAATTATTTTATTTAAAATATATGCTCTCCATCTCAAATTAGTAATGGCTTGCTCCTGTACATCATACTTTCCCTGTTACAATAGAGTCGTGCCGGTCATCTTTCTAACTCCTTTCTGGAAATTAAGGAATCATTCTTCATTGAATTTCATTGTTGATGCACGAAATTTTCCATATTATTTTTTTCTTATATGACATTTTCCTAAATTTTGTTTCAGTTAATAATTCATCGATGAAAATGCTCTTAAACTTTGACATTTTTTTCTATTGAATATTATTATAACTTTATACGTATATATTTATAATTGACTAAATTTTGTATAATATTTTTATGTAAGATACCGGTATGTAATTTCTTTCTTTCTTTTTTTACCAATATTTATTTTTCATTAACAGCACCTAAACTGATAACTGTCACATTATATTTCTTTATGTTATATCGTTATTCGAAAATATCTATAGACCTATTTGTTTAATTCTTCAAGTAAAATATTTGCAATTCTTTTTATTATTTTTTTTAGTATTTTTGTAAAATCGAAGGTAATATTTACATAGCGGTGAATGAGAGAGTTAAGTTTTGAATACGGAAGTTTACATTTGTATCAACTAATATTTTTACTTCGTTCTTGTAAAATAATTTAGAGTTTATTTTCTTCTCGTTTTCTTAAGAAATTCTCGTGAATAGAATATAAATATCTGAAGACGTACTACATCTTTATAATACATATTTATAAAATTTGGTTACGTCTATTGTATTTAAATGAAGATATAAATTATTTGAAAGGATTTAGTATGATTAATGAATTTTAATTCAAATTTTGAATAAGAAGAAATGATTGGATACGACAATGATGCACTTGGGTGAATAGGGGTGCTAGGGGGAGGCCTTTCTATGAGAAAATAATGGGTTGCTAGGGGATGCTCGTGAGGAATTTCTGTAGGAAAATGACCCCCTACTAGGGGGAAAATTTCTTATAGAAAGGTCTTAAATGCTTGAAAAAACCCTGGAAAACTACTGTGTGTATCTAGCCTGTTGATCAGATGTTTACTGTTTTCATCATCCACTTGACAATTGGTGAGCAAGACAAAATGGAGTCAACTAATTTTCAATATTGCTATAAAAAATGCAGAATAATTAAAATTAAAGGAGTATAAAGAAGTTTATTTCGAGAAACGTATTATTCAGTATAAAATGAATGTCAGAATTTTTACATCAAATATATTATAGCATTAAATTAATATATAATGTTACATTAATTGACGTTATCAATTATTACATTTAAATCAATGTTTTTGATGAGGTAATATAAATTGTTAATTTATATTTTTCTAAAATTTATGATAATTATCATTATTTATGAACATAAAAATAAAAAAATAACAAATTGTTTTCATTTAGGGGAGACCGGGGCAAGATCGGCATGTTAAGCTTTACTTAAATTTTGTGTAATAAATACTGCTGTAAACTGAAAAAAGAGCTTTTCATATTGTCTATTGGAATGTTACCTTACTATAGAACTGGTTAAAATCAGTTTGGAAATAAAAATAATTAAAATAATTACAACTTTACAAAAAGAGAGAAATTGACGAACTTGCCCCGGGTATAGGGGCAAGATCGGCAACTTCTCTCTTTTTGTAAAGTTGTAATTATTTTAATTATTTTTATTAAAGTTGCCCCTGGTATAGGGGCAACAGTAATGGGGCAAGATAGGCACATATATAAAATTATGTTATTAACAATGTATAAGTTGGAATTCACTATTAAAACAAAGAAATACAAATCCAACACCCATTTAATATTATTACAACGAAATGCAAGTTCAAAGACATATATACGTGAATAACAAATGCAAACATGTTTTCATTTATCATCTGTTTGATTTTTATCCTTTGCTTCTAATGTGGCTTTATGTTGCCGATCTTGCCCCGCTAGTCATGATTTCGAAACATTAAGTACAACCCTGAGAACAGAATGCCAAGCCACGATCTGGCCACGTGAATAAGTTGAAGTTACATCCTTCTAACAGGAAAAGTAACTTTCGTTATCATGGAATTATAACAAAACCTGCCAATTCAATATAAATGGAAAAAAAATATTATATGGAATTCAACGAAAATGAAAATTTGCTTGATAATTCAACTACGCTTGTTGGAGAACAATAAAAACACTACACTCAACAAGCCACCAATAAAACTCAACTGCCTAACCTATAACCAAAGTCTCCTTTTAATTTGTTTTTAAAAAAAGTGCTTGACAAACTTGCCCCGCATGCCGAAGTTGCCCCGGTCTCCCCTATATTGAAACATATTTCATTTTCCTAATAGTAAAATTTGGTTATTCTCAAATAATATTCTATAAAAAGAGTTTAATTTCGTGATATTACTCTGAAACTTTTCAGGTTTTTGTGTCTATTCGTAGCTGCATAATCGCGTGAGAGTTAGAGAAATTCATAACTTCTTGAAATAGATCCTTTACGTGTCATTCAGGAGAAGTATTCAGAGAACTATTTACAATACGGTTAAAATACGTTCATTATCATATTTTTTTAAATATTATCGAATGGTGCATGAACTAAATTACATCTAATTTCAAAATATAACAACTGTAACAGATATTCGTTTTATATAATAGACTTACACAAGACTAAAGTAGTAAATATTCAACAAGACAGTCTTATTATCTTTCTATAAAGCGACGATTTTCATAGATAATATCATAAAATTAAAAAAAAAAAAATTATGCCAGTAGCCTATTGTACACAGTTTTATCAACAGCATTGGCAATATACATATTTTCCTACAAGGATTGTCGCTTCTATGAGCCTCAGACAGGTACAAACATAGGTTTGTTGATACCTTGTTTCGGCTAACTATTAGATAAGAGGTCCTAAACATATGGAGTACAGCATGATGGAGGTTTTTAAATATAGCGTATAAATCGATATAAAAGGACTCTCTCGTTTGCGTAAAGCATCGCACAACCTAAAACTGTCACAGATTACTAATCAAGATACGGATTTTTTTTCTTTTAACCATACTTTCAAGAAAGAATACTTTCTAATAATTTTGCAGCGCACGTTATCAGTCTCTGACTCACAACGTATAGGCTACCTTTATCCATCACACATAATAATTGTATCGATTAAATTACTTAATCGATACATTTTCTTTCGTTTTAATTATATTATAATAATTTTGACTAAAATGGAAAGACGTCGATGATTTTACTGTACTTTTCATATAATTATCTTTAATTTGCTAAAAAAAATTCTGTAAATTATTAATATTTAAATTAAATTTAAAAATAGAAATCCTCGTTCATACAACCTTTAAGCTTTTTAATTAAATATTTAGAAAGAGAAGAGAGAGAGACAGAGGAGTTAGAAGTGTCAGCTTTTGACCTGAGGGATCCAGGTTCGAGTTCAATTGGAAATCACACGATAGATTTCTATAAATATTTTAACAATGCTTTAAATTTTTGTTTTGCAAGTAATTTATAATTTAAACGGAACAGAGAAGAAACAAAAGAGTATTAATAAAAGTAAAATATATTTAAAGAAGATATAAAAATAACAACAAATAGTAGTTTCTCGCTTACATGAAAGTACAGACCAAAAGTCAGTTAACCACGATATCTGCTCAATTTTAAATAGCCTGAATTACAATTTTTTAAATGTACTAAACCATGTACTAAACAAGGATTTCGTTTTTTCAGTTTGTGTAAATAAATAAGAATTATTTTAATATAAATTTATAAATACAGATTTTATTTTAAATCATAATTGCACATAATTTGTAATATCTTAAAATTATATAATTTGCATGAATTAAATTCTTTGATCTACTCGAATAAAAGTGACGAAATTTCATTGTGATTAACCATTATGTGGATAGAATGAAAAACACCTAATGTCGCTATAGATACCTGGTTACCTACAAAGTTTTAATCGGAAATTTAACTGATTTATACCTAAAATATTTATCGTGTGTTTAGTAATAAATGTGTATTATTTTGAAAACACACAATATATTTATGTGTTACAACGTAAACTTTATACTAAAAAACCATGAGATGGTGAAATTCAAATCAATGTTGGTGAGCGTACGGATATAGATTTAGTTACTTCCTGAAATTTATTTGCAAGTTTACAACTGCCTCATAACGAATTCATAGAATTTGACTTTAGTAGGAAGTGTCTGAAGAAATAAAAGATTCTTGCCTTCTAATATGCAGGCATATGAAGATAGATACATAAATTCGATCAATTTTGCGTTCAGGAAAGAAACAACTTTATGTCCTTATGTACCCAAAAAGAAGAAATCAGTTATTCTATCATTAATGTACATATAGAAATAGAAATAGAGCAAACTACCACTGCAAAACTAATAATTATAAAATACTACAACAAAGTCAAAAGGAAGCGTCAACACGGTTGAACAAAATGTTAATTGAGTTTACAGTGTAGCTTAGAACAAATCGTTGGCTCGGCATTTTCTGTTTTCTTTTTCAATGTGATTTATGTTGCTATTTCGTCTGCATAAAGGGAATAATCCCAGACTTAGATCGACTTACAGGCAGAGTAGATTCTTGAAAAATTTTGAAAATCAGTTACTTATGCCTTTTACAGACACTAGAGACACCATTTCAGAAACAATTGTAAATCATTCTATAAGATTTGACTCGATTTTTATGTTTTGAATAAAAAAAATCTACAATATCTTTATTCATTTTATTTATCATAATTCATTTAATTTTATAGAAAAATGTATAATGGTGCTCGGGTGCCTACGTCATTAGAGGGTGTAAAAACTTCAGATGTCATTTTAACATCGAAAGAGTGACAATATAAACTAAAATATTTTATAAGGTGTGTAAAAAACTAGTTAGATGTCACGGAATTAGAAACCAAGGCAACTTAAAACTCAGCAAAAAGTATTATTCGAATGCACAAAAGTTAACCAGTAAATTATTGCTTTTATGAAATTAAAGAAATTTAACGAGTGTTTATTAAAACAATTTTTATATAATCAATTTTAACTAAATTAAATGTAAACATAAATTGTATGATTATATAAATATACAGTTTTCTAATATTTAGTTGCTTATGTATACAAAAGTGAACACGAACAGTCACGAAGATACCGAAGAAAACACGCAGAACTATAGAATAAATGTCACAAGCACTAACTATACGTGATCTTTCTAATCCTAATCTAATTATCTTTCACCAGACAACAATGTAGTTTCATGTTACAAAACCGTAGGTGATAATCACTAGTAGTTTTTATACGAAATAAGATATAGATGCACTGTTAGGTATATAAGTTGTAATGGTTGTTATTACATAAATTTAATTCCACTTGTTATGTAATATATGAGGAAATGTTAGAGATTTGATAAATTTAACCTCAATTAAACAAAAAATTGGAGATTTCTTAATGAAAAAAGATCATCGATAGGTTTTCTAAATTCATTTTACATAGTGTTTATGAAAATCGATAATTTTATAAATTATGTAATAAGTAAAATAAGAAACTATATATAGGCGAAGAATTATGACGGAATACTAATTAATAATACTTATATACGACTACAAGATTAGTCATTCCTTTATCTAATTGTAATATTATATTTAGATAATTGCAATTTTTTTCTATCGGATTAACAAAATTCTTATATCAAATGGAAATTACAATACAATGCTATGTTATGATTTAGATGGACTATCAAATATATACGACAATATAATTATTATTTAACTGCTTTTAGGGGAAAAGATTTGAATTAAAATAACATGACTTCTCGTACAAACTGGAAGTTTATATATAGTCAATCGGGCTTCCTTTCCCAAAGGTTTCTAATTTACATCTCAGATTTCATCTATGTATCTCCGTTCTCGAAATTAAGGAGAGACAGACGGACGGACGACAGTGGTAATTGTTCCGAAGTCTTTATATAACTTATCTCTACCAAATACAATTGACTTTCGACTTTATCAAATATTAATAGATAAATGCAATATGTTGTAAAAATGAAAGTACTTAAAAGATTTTTACGAAAGAAGCATCATCAAATAATAAAATATAATGTTTTCCTTGTAACAACACAGAACTACCTTTACATAGTGTTTAGTTCCATACACTATTGTTTCTCACAATGTATTAATCTTTCGATAGCCAGCAACACGAGTTTAACCAATAATAGATGATTTCTTAAAGGAAAAGTATGATGTACAGGGGCAAGATACTACTAATTTGTGGTGGAGAGCATATATTTTAAATGAAATAAATTAAAAAATATAATAACAAATTGCAGCCCAGCATTGTGACGATCTCAAATAAATAATCGCTCGTTTCAATTTTGAATTATCGTGCAATCTCGATTCCAAAATATGCTACAAATGTAAATCCGTCTCTGTAATCCAAAAAAAACACACTTTGGTAGACGTATCTCACCTTAAAAGACCTTAAAAAATCGATTTTTATGGTCTTAGAATAAAAAAAAAAAAACAGAATATCACGTTTTTATCTTTATAATTTATGCAGATAAATGAGAGTCTACTAGACTTACTTTTAATAGAAATACTTATTAATTATGAATTTTTATACTCAAGAAATAACTAATTAAAACTTAATTTTTCATTAATTAAAAAAATAACACCGTGTTTTTAGTAATTCGAAAAATGTGCAATTAATCTAATAACAAAACATAATGGATTTATTGATTACAAATGTTACGAGATTCCTTTATAATCATAAAAAATTGTATCAATTTTCCTTGTAAATTAACTTTTTGCTCGTTTTTTTCAATGAACTATTTTTCTAAAATATGAAAAAAAATTACTAGATTTATGTTTTTCAAAGATATATAAAAATCTTTTTAAAAAAAATAATACATGAGAATTCAATAACATGTAAAAAATTAAAAATTATAAAAATCACCTACAGGAAAGACTTACTATCAAACCATTCAAAATCAAACTTAAAGTAGATACATAATTTATAAAAATGCCTGATATATCTCACTGACTATCGAATATCTCATGAATAAGTCTGTCTGTATATATGACTTGTAAAAAGTCTTGGCATGAAAAATGATTAAAAATATGACGTCGTGCTTAAATCTATAGAAAATATATTATACACTTTTAAATAAAATATACAATTCGCTCTTCAAGTATGTTAGGTATAAAAAAATTACTAATTAAACACTGAATTAAATGCTTGATCAGCCAGCCCCTTTCACTACACTAACATACAGTCGACCCCCTTAACACTGTTGATATTCCCGTTTTATATGAATTCCATGTTGTACGAGTCACTTAGATTTTACAAATATGTGTGCCGGGCTGTGAACGGCTCACGTATTTGTAAAATCTAAGTGACTCGTACAACATGGAATTCGTATAAAACAGAATTATCAACACTGTTATAGGGGGGTCGACTGTATGTTTAATTTTGTTATATCGAAACGACGTACCGAATTGTTTATTGTCATTTACTGTTTCTAGTATGAGTATTGTTCTTTCGAATGTTCTACACAACAAAACAATACGAAAAATTATTTATTGCATTAAACAAAACAATAAACTTCAAAGACTCAATTTGAATTTATTGATTTTAGTTTTTATTATATATCTATTTTTTAAGTTTACTGAATGTTTATATATATATATTTTAGGTTGAGACAATTGGAGATGCATATATGGTAGTTTCCGGATTACCAGTAAGAAATGGACTCCGTCATGCTAGAGAAATAGCAAGAATGTCATTAGCATTGTTGAATGCTGTCAAAACATTCCCTATTCGACATAAATCGCAAGATCAATTAAAACTCAGAATAGGAATGCATTCAGGTCAGTTAAAAACATTCATAAGACATTTATCAGTATAATAATATTATACATATATTACTCGATAATAATAAATAAATTATTTTAAAATTTTTAAATATTACGTGGTACCAACATACTTAATTTCCCTCCTCTCTAGAAAATACATTTTTGAACATCTCTCTTATGTAATTCATTTAAACTACGGTTTTTTATTCTATATATAATATTAGTTTTATCGAAGAATATCATCAAAGTTACAATTTCTTACAAAATAAATGGTGAGAAAAAGAGCAGTATTCATCTATACAATGTCACTTGGTAGAATCGAAGAAATTTTTAACTCGCGCACGATCTAGTTAGGGTTGTTTTTTTATTTTTATCTTCTAGAGATTGAAGATTAATTGGTGTCATAATTTTTCTTACGTGATCCAGATCACGTAAGAAAAATTGCAAGGAATTCGAACGATTGTCCACCTTGCAAGATCCAACCATAATTTGATGCAAAAGTGACTAATAATTGTTTTGAAGTACAGTTCTTTACTATTTTACTAGGTTCTTGCGCTGCTGGTGTCGTGGGACTGAAAATGCCAAGGTATTGCTTGTTTGGGGATACTGTAAATACTGCATCCAGATTGGAATCTACCGGATTACGTAAGTCTTTATTCAATTAAATAAAATATAAATTTATGACACTTTTCTTCCAACATTACATTGTTATGTTAATTTATTCCAATTTTGTCATATTATTTTAATAAAAAACATTATATTTTAAGGATTAATAAATTTTAAAAATTAGCAAAATATAAGAATGTAATACTTCTCATTGATTTATTTATTGTTATAATTTGAAAAGAAATTTAAAATTTGAAATATATGGCATATTCTATTATTTTAAATAAACTAAAATTAAAAGGACACTTTTTATTTTATATAAATAAAACTCCAGTAATTAGTTGCTTAACTTTTCCGGTAATATTTGATGGCGCCATCTGTTATTAATATTTTATTTTGTGTTTATATAAAGCCAATTACTTCATATTTGTCACATAATAAAATAAATAGAAATTAATAAAGATAAGTCTGGAGAATTCAGGAAATATCTGAAAGTTTTTCTTGTGTAATATTTGAAATGCAATACTTATTGTTTCTAAAGAATAAAATTCGATAAAAATTATTTGGATCTGAGATTTCAGTAATTCCTACAGTTGAATGATCTTTTCTTTTTAAAATCAGAGGTAAGTTTGATATCAAATGGCAATTATTTTGTGAAATTTAATTCCTAAATGATAAAAGCTATAGTTTTTATATAAAAATTCTATTTAGTTTTAATGATACGTTACTTCACATTACTAAATTGGATTAATCTGATGTAAGTTATGTTACAAAAATGGAAGCAGTAATTAGAGATGTTGTAATAAATATTTGTTCGAAAATGAATTTTTTTTTTACTAATTGCTAAAAATAATATTACATGACAATATATTTTACTAATTAGTAGACTTTGTCATTTTACGTACTTTATTGTTATTACATAACTTACATTAAGAACAATACAACGAACACGGTAACACAGAAACTGAAAGATCTCTTCATCCTTAGCTGATCTTAGCCACAATTCCTTTCTTATTTGTCTTTAGGACGGACCCGATAAAGCCGTATGAATCCACCAGAATTCTAAGCATAACCCATATTTGAATCATGTCCTCAGAGTGGAAGATTTTTGTCTTAACCGGCTGGGTCATCTGACCATCACTATATGCCGATTAATAACCCCAATCTAAGCTATAATCGCATTAAAAGACGTAACAAAGACTTGCACTTTAACCTCTTATAAGTAATATCAATTTTCTCGTATGTCGAATTGAGTTAATTATAGAAAATGTATATATTTTTAGTCGTTTATTACAATAATTCATAAAAAAATTAAGCAATTAACAAAAACACATAAATTTGTTTCTTAGTTATTTAAATTTATATTTGTTTCTTTACATACGAGGTATAGAAACATTTTTAAAACATTTTAGGAAGTTAAGGTTTACAACTGGCTTAAATAAATAACATGAATTTTACGGTTTTCTGGTACTTTCAACCGTTATACTGTATCTGCTGCTATGTGAAAGCTACGTTTGAATCTTGTTTCCGAACGTTTGTTACAATGTAACGTTGATTTCTCTGTCCTCGGCATGTACTGTACGTTCTTGACAATATATAATCTTTGACGAGTAATTTACCAAAATAGTCTACTTATTGTTACTTATTTTCTAAACCAAAGTAGAACCAAATTAGCATGCTAATTTGGTTCTACTTTGGTTTAGAAAATAAATGCATTTTAAGCAGAAACATACTATAGAAAGTATTGCTGATTTGTTTTTCTTTTGTAAGTTTACGTTATATCCTATGAGGTCACTACTAAACCACATTCCACACACACATCTTTATTTTTTTAGGTGTTGCCCATGATTATTTACCTGTGTAAAGCTGTACTTTCAAAACATGAAGTTTAACTATCGCAGAGTGTCTATACTTTTGTCTTATATTTCCCAATTGACAATAACTAACTTCTATAGCAAATTTAATACGATACTTTAGTAATAGAAAATATTACTAAAGTATATAAACAATATGGCTACATAAAAAGAATTCCAGAACATTTTATAATGTTTATTTCATGATACGAATTTTTAATGAAATAGTTTAATCCGCGTTAGAGAGTGTTTCTGCAGTTTGGTCTATGGAAAGTGTGAGATCCGGAATTTATTAACAAAAATTGTAATTAGTTCACTTTCGTTTATGTAACGATTTAGAAGAAAAAAAATCGATCTTAGCCGGGAATGTGCAAACCTTCCTGTCATAACTATCAACATCTATTGTTCTCTACATAACTTGCAGCTCGTCTTGCACAAAAGTTTATAGTTAGCATCCAACTTTCGTCACTTAGGCCCCTGGAACACCTATAACCTTTAGCTCATAGGCCATTCGATCACGTGATGGAAATTCCCCGCAAAAAGCTATAAAAGACAGTTCTTACCCCCTCTCGGAGGAGTCTCTTAACGAAAGCCGGACCAACGACATCGCGCCGATTCTCCGAACCCGCCGAAATTTCGATCTCCGCATATCGATATCCGATCATCGCCAAATTCGCGAACTTTTATAATTGTGCTCATTTGGATTAAAACCACCTTTTATTGAACAATTAAGTGCCTACATGGACTTACTCGCCTAGGAACCACACAAAGAGGTATGAAAAAGTATGTAAACTCTCTCTCTCGAGCTAATAGGCGGTTTAGAAAGAAATTTGTGTAGTCTTTTTGTCGATTTTGTTTATTTCAATAAATCCTTATTTTTAATTGTTAAAATGGTAGACTCCTTTACTCGTATACGCCCTTCACCTTATCGTCGACCCCCAAATACTCTTCTTGGCCTCTTTGTGCTCTCTGAGCGGTAAAGGGCCTAAAACCACAAATAAAAAAAAAACCCAAATACTCTCTCTCCACTCGCGTACCCGACCCTAGGGACCAGCAATAAGAAAAACTTTAGCCATCTTGACAAGTGAGCATGTTTAACGACCTGTCGCCGGAACGGGAGACCTACGATCTCCCCGGCGGTTCACAAAAGCGAAGCGGACCTATTTATTTAATACAAAGAATTAAAATTGTATAATCGTGTTTTATCAAGAATATATTGAATTAAAAAGTGATATAACCTATTATAGGAAAAACTATTAGGCCTATATCTTTTTTAATCGATTTAAGTTAATATGCTGACTTTTGAACAGCGAAGAATTAAACATGGAATTATAATAATTAAAAATATATATACAGTGGTGCCTCGTATAACGTACGCCTCGAATAACGGACGCTGCGAATAACGGACTTTCCGTTCGGCAGTTACGTGAGGCGAACAACGGTCTTTCTACGAACAAGTGCGAATGATGTTTCCACACTTTTGCCGTTGCCAATGACAATCTGCTATTTTTATGATATATTAGTATTATTAGAATATATTATCAGTATATCTGAAGTACAGAGCGTTGGGATTAGGCTTGCTGCTTTGTTTATTCGGTACATCAACACAGTGCAGGGTATTTACATTTATTCAAGTGTTGTGCAATCATGGCTTCTAAAAAAGCAGAAAAGTGATTTCAATTGAAACAATGCAAAAAATCATCAGAAGGAGTGAAAGTTGACAAAAACTTCCTTGTTGAATGAGGAGAGGTTCAGGAGTTTACCAACACTCATTATCCAAACAGAGCTGAGGCAAACAGTATCAATGATCTCTACAATGACACCCTTGCCCGTCATTTCCGACAGGTGTTGAAGAAGAGAGAGAAACAGACCACCTTGGACATGTTTTTCAAGAAGCCAGCGGGAAAAAAACAAAGGATGGAACAAGAGGAGTTGACCCTGCAAGCTCCGGTAGCCTCTCCTGAATCTGAATCCAATTAAAAAACAATAAAAAAAAGACCCGCTGCAATGTGTAAAAAGTCTGTATCTGTATGAATGTGTGAAGAAAGTGTTCCTCCACCTCCTCCTCACAACATCTGACTATCCGGCATAATTGGTGACTGCTCCATTTTCATTTTTTAATGGTACAGTACGGTTATTTTATGCTGCGGAACGAATTATATGTTTTAACATGTATTTCTATGGGAAAATGCGTTTCGTATAACGGATTATTCACTTAACGGACGTGCACCTGGAACGGATTAAGTACGTTATACGAGGCACCACTGTATATATATAGGCCTATATATTACAGTTAACATAGATTAATTTTTACCTTTATTCGTATTTATATTTCATATAAGAATAAAAGATTAAAAGCATTTTTTTCAACTTTAATTTTGAATAAAAAATGCATTAAATAATTTGCCTGAATTACATGTTATATCAATTTTTTATACGCTTCTACAATTAATTCAATTTGATGTAATAATGATGAAAGCAAATACATGTAATAGTATATTAAACAGGGACATGAGTTATATTACTAATTTATCTGCTGTTAGAAGGACTAATTTGTAAATTTGCTAATGCCAATTGCTCTATTAGAGTATTAATAGGACTTATTATACTGATTCCACTTGCGGATTGAATTAATCTATTGGTTGTAAAGAATAAACTTTCTTTATTTGCATCTGTATTTAATACTTTCTTCTATTTCAGTCCTTTCGTCCTTCATCAACAGGTGTTAAATTTTATTTTGTAAGAGATTTTTTAGGAATGTTAGAATACGCATACCGACGTCTGCATGCACTTTAAGTGTTCTTGCAGATAGTGAACTCGGTAACAGACAATGATCTTCCAGCAACCAGAAATAGTAGTGGTTAATTATTGTCTTTCAAACGGGAGACTTGTTGCCAAGTAGATGCAGATGATCGAACATGAGTCTCTTCTTCCTTTCTGATGCCGAGATACTGAGACATTTTAGGAAGATTCTTCAGTTGCACTGGAATCTTCACATGGAAGGGAGAGTTCAATAGCTACTTAAACAACTTTTTTTGACACACCGAAAAAATGTTTTTATTTAATTAGAGAAAAATTCTAGTATCTGGAGTCTGCTGAATACAGCAATAAAAATGGATCATATGAATAGATCCATCACCGTAATGAATCTACCCATACCGTCTTTCATTTTATTTTATTTATTTTTTCTAAGATAACAACGAAAAAAAACAACCTATGCTTCCTGCAGCATACTGCTACTAGG